CACTAGTGTGCCGCGGAACAGTGGTTGAAAAACACTGCATTAGAGGAACTCCAGGTGAGGTGGAGAGGACGAAGGAACCGCAGAAGTCTCACTCGGTGTCACGGGCGATTCTTGGCCCACGGAGGCAGACCGACCTGAGTCGGGGCTCGAAAAGTACTCGAACAGCATTATCACCTATGCCCCAGTCTTCTTCCTCGACTTACTTCATTTAGGTTGGATCCTACTACACAATGTCCAAGCATTGTTCTTACTTATTCAGTCTGCTTGAATCATATGCCAGACTGAGTGTGTCACAGTTTATCAGAGTGAAATATGGAGAAGAAGCTTGATGTAAAGATGGCGAGGCCAGTTTGAACAAAATAAACATGATAATGTTCAACTCCAATGGTGTCCAGAAGAACTGCAGAAAAAACAAGGAAACAGAAAGAGGCAGAAACTTTTCTGACACAAAGCAGATCATCTTTTTTTCTAGATGATCTAGAAAAAAAAAGTGGAAATAAAAAACAAACAGTAAAAAGTATATCGGTAAGGCTGACAATGACAGAACGTGAACATATAGAGCAAGAACAAAAAGTTCAAGCAAAGCTAGCAGGCTGCTTGTATAATGTTTTATGACTAAGTTAAAGCTGCTGTGACCTTTGGAGACTTTGTCCTTTAAAAAGCTTTTGTCATATCTGAAGAGCCAGCCACACAACTTGTCCTATTACTGAAGTTAATTTCTAGGCCAGTACAATTTCTTTTCCACTGAATGATGTTATCTATATGGCACGGAACACTTTGTTGCATTAATTAAAGCATAATGAAATGATGGCGTTGGATAAGTGTGACACAAAGCTGGCGAGGGCACAGCTGCTTCGACACACTGACCAGGTTCCCAGCACCCAGAACGGACAAGTTTTTGAATAAGAGGGGGAAAAAATGTAACGCATAATGAGCAATTTAAAAAAAATTAATTTCTTAAAGATCTACAGGACACTCACCAATCAAGAGCCTGGAAAAGCATTAATATTCCTTACACTGTTTCCATTTGTCACTGCGTTTCTGTTACAAATGTGCGCAAAACTGTCGAAAAAACAATTTTGCAACCACGGTAACACTGAATGAAAAACGCAATTAAAATCACTATTCACATTAAAACGATCAAGTTTGTTCGTGTGATAAACTTGTTCAAACCTGTCTTCTTTGTGGTTTGAGCCAGTGGCGATGTCTGGTTTGTTGGTCATGTGACTCGTGTGATGCAAAAAAAAGTGTTTCAGTTTTGGAGAAAATAAAACAATTTTGATACAGCCAAAAAAACAAAAACAAAAAAAAAAACAAGAAAAAACACCTTGTCAGAGCGCCCAAACTTTTTATCCAAAAACAACTTTTTTCATTAAGGGTCTTTATATTCAAAGTGTCACATCGCGTGATTATATGGTCAATGGAAATGCAAATATTGTCGTTAGTTGGGTTAAAAGTGATTGATCAATACACACAGTAAACAGCGGATGACTAGGAAAGGAAATATAAATAGTACGTGGTTTTAATTTTTTTGTTAGAAATAAAAAGTCTGAGTCCTGGGCGTCTACATTCAAGCCTCTTTCATTTGATTCGGTCTCTGAGCTACCGGTTGCCTTCAGAAATTCCCCAATTAGTCAATAAACTCCACCTGTGTGTGATATAATCTCAGCACAAATCCAGATTTTCTGTGAAGCAAAAACAGGTGAATATGATGTGTAGTTTTGTTCACATCATTTTTATTTCCAACAGGTTCTTCAGCCAAAACTGACGTAATGACCAAGCTGGTCATGACCTCAAAACCAAACAGACAAAACTCGGCTGACTGAGTTCTAGCTACCAGCCTAACCAAATCTAACTCGCCACTGGTCTTCGTCCTGATGCACGTTAGAGAAGAAGAGGGAAGTTCAAACCATTTCTTCTATCGATCATATCGAGTAAAGAGCAAATCCGATACTCTAGCGTCTCTTCGCCCACCTTTCTAACCGTACGGTTAGAAAGGGATTTAAGTAGGAGCTCTTGCCAAAAATCATGGCGTCATTCAGGTTCTTTCCATCTTTTCATGACTCTTTTTTGTTCTTCCTGCCCTCACACTACATGAACTCTTTTGAACTTAGCCAGTTTTCTTGCAGATTTACCAGCTCCTACATTTGAGCAATCAGACATTCCACCTATCCACCGCCCTACGGGCTGCTACAAAAAAAAAAAAAAATTAAAAATTGGCACGGCATGCCAGATCATTAGGCAAAGAATCACTTTTCTACCCTCATCATCAGAGAAATGAAAAACACACACACACACACACACTTATGACGCCTTTGAGGCTGATGGAGTGCCGTGCTGAGAGAGAGAGAAATGGAAGCACAGAATAAGTGCAGAAGGAGCGATTTGTTGTCATGTGAACCTAAAAGCTGGCACAAAAGAAAAAAAATGTGTGAGGAAAACTAACAAACTAAAGAATGTTGGGTGATTTCGGTCAGGTGAGACAACTATCTAATTATGCAAAGTTCAGCAATAAAATAGTGTATGTTCAAAGGCTGAAAGTGAAGCTAAAAAAGTACCAAATGCAATGTTGGTGTACAGAAAACTATTGCTCACAGGCTTGAACAACAAAAGGAACAATTCAAAGTAGTGTACATGCAATTCAATGTACATAATCATTTTGGTTATAACGTAGCGTTTCAGTAGGAGAAATGCATATGTGTGTCTTTATGGTAGGAGGGAAAAAATCCATGTTCTTTTAATGAATGGAAATTTGGTGCATGAATAAATCTGTTTGAAGAAGCGTTCTGAAAATGTGCCATCAGCATAAGTACTTTTCAACGTTGGTCCGGCATATTTTAACTGTGGAAGACAATACACGTTAACCTTAAAACACAATTTGGAGCATAAACTACTCTTAAAAGAAATCGGACATATTAGGCATTCGAGTGTCCAATTAAGTAGCAAAGGAGACCGGAAAGAAAAATACTTTGTGTTCCAGTTTATGTGAAAGTTCATTGATCAAATCTTGTGTGATTAATCAATCATTTGAAGAATAGTCTTGCATATTTCTCACCAACATCACAGCTGATATAAAATTCACTCCCTCTAAACTATTTCAGCAAATCGATTTGTGCAATCTTTTTATTGTAACGTGAAATGAGTTCAGAGTAATAAAATGGCAGCAGCAAAAAACAAACTCAAACTAAAATGCTGCGTTTTTTTTTTTCAACAATAGCTCAGTTTTCATCTCTATCCACCTTCCCATCAGTTCTGACCAACAATGATGCTGCCACCACCACGTTTCACACTGGGATAGTGCATTTGCAGTAATGTTTAGGTGTTTTTCTGCTACAAATAGCATTTTGAGTGCTGTTCAAAGAGCCTTCTTCTATTTATTAGTTTATTTATTCATTATTTTTTTAAGTGGATATCAATATTCTACTTTGTTTCAGCGCATGTCTTCAAATACCGATGAAAAACATTAAAATCTGTGGTCTTAGTTTAACAAAAAAGTTAAATTCGTACTGAAACTGCAAACCAAATGTAATCTGAAATGGAATGAGATTTTTCTGAGCGGAGCTAAAAAAATGGTTAAATGAACAATAAACATCCTTTTGTTCATTGTGTTGCATGGACTGTTTTTATTCATCTCAATATTTGCTCTCAAATTCGGCAACAGTTAAGACGACCAGGCGTCTGAGTCAAGCAAAACCGAGAGCAATAATATTTGCTGACATTATCGTCATTATCGTGGCGTAACATTTTCAGCTCCCGAAAACTAATTTCAGCATTTCTATTATATTTATGTTTGTTTCACCAGCCAAGATGAAAGTTTGTGTTAACTAACAAAAAAAAGCAACCAACATTCAAAAAGAAGAGAAAAAGATAAGATTCTGTTTTTTAAATCTCTGAATGTTCCTAATTTTTCTTAAACATTTTATTTTGAAAAATAACATGTCTCTAGTCATTAAAGACTATACTTTTGGTCAAACTATACATGTTTTTGTCGTACGTTTTGTGAAACGTGTTTTTGGTAAGCAAACACACGTTGAATTTCAATGCTATTTTAACACAGCGGTCTCAACATTTACTGTTAATTGTAATGAATTTATAATTTTCAGAAGTTGAGGATTTCTTCCAGCCCGATGTCATTAATGGTTAAAGAACCTGAAGGAATCTCTGCTCCTTCAGGACGAGCTTGAATGGCTGTGGAGTTTTGTTTCTTCAGGCGGTGCAGCATTAAAAAGGGCAAATCTGTAGTGGAAATGATTACAAGGCTTGAAGATCACTCCGAAAAATCTTTCTCTGCTTCTTGAGTGCAGTGCATTGCTGCATGCACAAAATGCAAGGTAAAGCCCTGCCTTTGCAGAGAGAAAAATTATAAAGGTCAAAGTAATGAAGGATTATTTCAGAAAATACACAAAGGGTGGAGAAGTGACTAAAAGTTATCAAAAGAATGGGGGGGGAAAAATCCAAACAAATAAGGCTTTATTGGTCTGAAGACTCTCTGAGCTTCTTTTTGCCAATTATTATATTTTAATGAAAGCAATCAAGTTGCTGGCAATAAAAGGAGCTGTAGAAGAGGTGTGGGCATGGAAAAGATAAATAAAATTAAAAACAATCAAATTTGAATTATGTACAATGAGCTTTCTGTATGATCTGCACACACATAATGAATTTAAATTGGTGTAAAAAAACAGCAAAACATAGTTGGTGAGTGGATTGGCAAAACAATATTATTCTAGAAGTACACAAAATGTAATACTGATTTCAATGTTTTTTTCACATGTGATGAGTTGCAATTTTTCTTAGAAACATTTTTATTAAAACCTGGAAGTAAATTATCTGAGTTAGCGGTTTTTGTAAACCGCCCTATGCCTCCCTCTGTTGGTTGTTTTGTGTCACTGCTTTGGCGACACTGAAAAAGAAAACAGGGGAAGCACACAAATCCAAGATGGCCGAACATAATGTCAAAGCGTTCTTCAGTTAGATATCAACCTTAATACTTTGTTGCTTTTTACAAGATTTGCCTGTAAACATGGATTATGACAAAGCTAATAACTGGCACGATAATTTGTACATTTAAAGGAGTTATGAAAATGTTAATTTTAGCACACAAAAGATGGTGACTAGCAAGCAACCACAGGCAGAAAATCCCAAGAAAAATTGTTAGCAAATATAATAAAATATTTGTTCATCTGGTCAAGAACATACACA